TCCGAGCTCGTTTCAATCGGAGGTTTCGTAAGAGGCTAAAAAGGGCCACTGAAAGATGGCTGAAGCCTGGAGCAGAAGAAGGATTACAGAATTTCGCGATTCTGTTCTGATCCGACTCCTGTGGTGGGTCGCGCTTAGATCACTGTTTCGACGTCTCCGGTTCACCTTAGAAGAACTACTCCACTAAAACGGACTGCAACAACTGTACATTTTAAAGCACACATACGTGAAAAAAAGCGTGAAATATAGAGGAACAGCAGTATTGTGTATGTATTTGGCGCGGGGTGGAGGGCGCTGTTGAAGTGAACTCTATGTTGTTGTCCGCTTCACTTAACTAGACCTCTTCATCATATCATATGTTCTTGTTGTCATGTTGGACATCTTCATCTGCTTTAAGATGATCAAAGCGAACGTAGGGTAGCTCATACATCATTACGTGTTTGCTCAAAAGACATGCATCCATTCGTTTACGCCATCCCTTGAATAAACAGCGACGCAGAATGGGGACGTTACGCAGGCGTGAGAGCCAGCCAGCCGGCCGGCCCTGGCAGTGGCAGACAGCTTTTGTCTGGGAGTCGAGACGACTCTTCACAGACTACAAAAAGGCACTAGTTCTCCACCACTCAAGGCAACCTAAAATAAACTCTTAGTCCTCTCCTTCTTGCCCTTCTCGCGTTCACAGTCTTCCTCGTTTCCCCCTATTTCTTCCACTGTCTCCTCCTCCTCCTCCTGCATATTACAGGGTGCCTTGCGCTTAATTCCAGGGTAGTTTAGCACTCGGGTTAGGGTTATCGTTTCTTGGGAAGGAAATAAGTCCCATTTGCGCATTTTAGAAGATGAATGTGGCGGATTGTGGCCACACGGTTCATTTAACCTATTTAGGTAGCAGTCGGACCGACTAATTCCCACTACCAAAGCATGACGCCTGTTATTGGGCCTGAAACCTCTCAGAACCCTTTCCCGCAAACGCGAGTACATTTTTGGCTCTACGATTTCCTCCTGAAAAAAAAAACGTTATCTTTTTTTCTCCCTCGCCAAAGAGCGTAAACTCGTATTTACCTGTGTTCGTGAATGTGCGCTTGTGTATGCAGACTCCATTCGCTTGTTACCGTGTTGATGCATAATTTTTTAGTCACCGACCCTCCGTTCTGGAGCCTCCAGACAGCCCTTCTCAAAAAAAACCCTCTCCCACGTGTGCATTAATTTCTTGTCACTGCATTCGTGTGGGTTCTCTGGGCTAGCAGTCTGTTTCTAAAAATTAACCGTTGCAACCAGAGTTTTTTTACTCTAGAAATGTACTAAATCGAACCTTAAGAATTCGTGCCTGCAGACTTTCAGACCACACACAAACGTCACGTGATTATAAAGAAGTCTGTATTGATTATGACGTCAGCGTGGCGGAGTTCGTTTAGAGTGGCTTCTGCTGCCTCTTCACCAGCATGGACAGTATCGCAGCGGTGGTAATTATACATGCGTAGTTAGGATCCAGGTTGTGTGCGCACTCAATAGACGCCAGTTTCACTTCCACTGAGTACAATCTCATTTCCGAAAAATTAACTCAGACGAGCCCCACTGGTGGGAGAGAGAAGGAGAGCGAGTCAGTTTGGTCTAGCTCAAAATCGGTGCCTAATTCCGCACTACAGGCAACTGAGCGCGCTTTTGCTGGTAGTTGCGTCATGGAGGGTTGTCGGGGGAGGGGAGACGGCATAATGCGATTTTATTGAAAACATACTGGCAGACTGCAATGGTTCCTTTTTAATGCGGTTTCCATGGTACTTTGATTTATCTGAGATCTGAGCCCTCGCACCCCCCTCCGCCACCCCAAAGGAGCCTGCTGCTTTGGGGAGCACATGGTGTATAGCACGCGTAGACGGGTAGTTTGGCATTCTCAACTCCACGTCCACTATGGACTTCTTTGTCATTTAAAGACCGCGAGTGACATGGGAAGAGAGCGAGTGAGGTGGAGGCGCCAAAAGTCTTCTTGGTTATGGACAAATTAACGCGCAAGTTACAGCGGCACCCGCCTAGAAACGGACCTCACCGTCCACGATAGTCAAACTGTCACGCGAGTGTGTATGTTTGCGCCGCAGCAAGAAAAACGGGGATGGTTGAGGGAAATCCACGGAGGTGCAGGCATGCCTTCGTGCATTTTTGTTACACTCATGTTGCCTTTTCTTGTGTGCGCGCGCGCGCGTGGAAGGGACGTTCGCCAATTGCA